CAAGGGTTCATGTTAACGAGACTTTCAGTTTATGCTACGACGCTAAAACCAAGTTTGCTGTTCCGGACATCACAGTACATTTCAACGGTGCCGATGTCGAATTGCAGCGTTTGAACACCTTCCTATCGGTTTCGATACCGTAACGTGCTTCGCCTTCACTTCTTATGGACATCTATCAGTGTTTAGGAACATAGCACAAGCGAATTTCTTGGTCGGATATGATAATGAGAACAAAACGTTATCGTTTAAGCCAACTGATTGCACCAAGAATTTGCTTATATATCAGTTTATTTACAGCAATGTTTCAGTAGGGTTGTTTGTTATGTTATATATATGTACTGATATTTACAGCTTTAATGATTTTTTGAGTGATCAATAAGTTGAATAGTTTGTGTTTGAATTTGAATAGGTTATAACTCGGTTAACGTTCGTTCCTGGTTGATTTGGATCATATTCGAGCTCAACTCAAGATCTTAACGAGTTAACTCGAGTAAGATCCAACTCGACTCGATAAGTTCGTTAATAATTTATTAATTTTTTTAATAATTTTTTAGCTGTCGTCCTAAAAGTTTATTCCATTAAAAAAATCTAACTAATAATTGCTAATTTACTGATACATAATAAGATTACGAAAGATGCTAGATTATTAATTAATAAAATAAGAATTACTATTATTTTTTTAATAAACAATAATAAAATATTAATTAATTAATTAATAAGCATAATTTGAACAAAATTTTAATAAGTAACGAGTCAAGTAACAAATGTTTTTAATAAGCACGAGTTGAGCAAAATTTTAATAAACTTAACGAGCAACAAGTTAAGTCGAACAATATTTTTTTTCTAACAAACATGAGTCGAACACTACTCGACTCGCTCGATAAACACCCGTAAACGTGGTTAATATTAATTGAATCCTTCGAGTTCTTTAGATTTAGATTGGTCTATTTGGTGAACTATTTAGTCCAAATCAATCTGAAAACTCCCATTTCAGCAGCCTTTAATTTTTCACTCGAATTTATTAAGTGATAAAAAAGAAAAATATTCTCTTAAAAAGATCTGAATTTAAACAATTACGTTTACATCCCCGAAAAATCCGAGTTCGAGCATGCCACACCATTAATCATATATACGAACATACATTATTCATTTTTGGTTTGAGCATATATTACAAGCATACATTATTCATTTTTGGTTTAAGCATATATTACAACATATGTTATTCATTTTTGGTTTAAGCATTCACTAACCATCTGTTGAGACGCTCAGATGCCTTTCTTACCTGTTACAAAAAGTCATATTAGAAAATCCATTTTTTAAGTTTTATTAATTATGATTTTTGTATTAGTATTAATTTTTTTTAGTAAAGTGCACAAATGATTTCTCGATTATATAGATATAGGGTGTTGCTTTGTTGAGTTCTCTGACTATTAAAAATTACATAATGAACTCCTGTTATAAGACGATGTTTTATTGAGTCTTCCAATAATTAAAAGTTACAAAATAGTCATCTAACCATTTATATTCTAAAATCGTCATTTTTTTTCATTAAAAATTGACGATCGTCTAAGCTGGACGTTAACTTACTGACTGAGATATGATAAAATCCTATTTTAATGATGTCCACCGTCACCGCCGTTGCTTTCAAGCACTTACTCGGCAACATAATGTTTCAAGCATTGGTTCGACGGCATAATGTAAATGGAGATGCGATGCAAAAAATACAGCTAAAAATATTATGGGATCGGATTTTATCATATCACAATCAATAGGTTAACATCCATCTTCGATGACCACTAATTGTTTAGTGAAAAAGGATAGGTTTAAAATATATGCATAATTGGGTGATCATTTTATAGCTTTTAACGGTTAAAAGACTCAACAAAACAATATCTTATAATATGAAGATCATTTTAAAATTTTTAATAGTTAAAAAACTTAACAAAGTAACTTTATATGATCGAATGACCGAGGATCGTTTGCGTACTTTACCTTAGTATTTGTTTGAGTAAATGTACCTGTTCATCCCAGTCTGTTTTCCAAACAAAGCAGGCTAGGATTAGCGATTGCATTACCACCCCGCTCATTAATCCAATCCACACCCCCTGACAAAAAATACAAAATAAAAATTTATAATTAACTTATATCTGTCACTGCTTTGAATAAATTAATATAATAAAAATATTTTTAATATTATTTTTTATTCTAAAAATTATTAATTTAATAAAGATTTAAAACATATCAAGATAAAGTTAAAGGGTAAACTATGTATTTAGTTGTCTATCTATTTTTATTGCTCAATTTTGATTATTCGATTATTTTAAAATTATATCTAATGTTATATTTATGTTCCGTTTTAATTATTTACTGTTAGAAAATAAACATAATTGATGATGTGATAATTATTTATTTATTTTTCAATGATAATGTAATATTATCTTAAAAAGTTACATGTTATTATATATAGTTTTTACCTTAAGTTGATAATCAGCAACATATCCAAGCAGAATTCCAATAGGTATTCCTATTCCATAATAGCATCCCAAGTTCACATATGCTACTGTGCTTTGCAAACCAGCTCCTGTGGCAATACCTGCATAACATATATACACGAATTAAAAACTTAATAACTAAATTGGCATAATGTTAAAATTAATCTACAACGTTTATTAAAATGATTATTTTAGTCTCGGTTTCCTTTTAAGTATTTTAATTTTTAACATTTTATTTTTAGATAAAAGACCTTTAACGTTTGATTGAATAGTCACTTTAGCCCTTAGTCTCTTTTTTCTAAACGATTTTGACCCTCAACTTCTTCTTTTTTTTTGGATAATTAAGCAAATTATTACCCAAAATAGCAAAGTTTGCTACAACCAATCAACCAATCAACAAACAAAAAAACAGCCTAATTACACAACCAATGATTGGTTAGACTATACCCCAAGCAATACAAAGGAAAAATTAGTACTATCAAGTCTATTAATGGCTTTGCCCTTAAGACGAGCAGCAACCACGTCGACGATTTCCTTAAGAATATCATCAGCAGATCGGAATCGGCCCTGAAATAATCTCCGGTTCCGTTCCTCAACTTCAATTTAGGATAAAAAGACCATATTTTAGAGCTTTGTTGACTTCAGTTTCCATCCATAGAAGGTCTTTTTGCTTAAAAATGAAACGTTGAGAGTCAAAATGTTCCAAAAGATATAGTCCAAAGTGACTATTTAGTCAAACGTTCGAAGCTAAATTGCTCTAGAAAATATAATCTAAAGTGGCTATTTAATTAAACATTAAAATTATATAAATATTCATGTATGAAAAGTTTAGAATAGTTTACCCGAGAGTACCGGCTGAACACTGTTGATTAAAATTGCAAAAGCGAAGTAAATTGAGAGAGTTGAGACTGATTGTACGACTTGTTCGTCATCCGAAAACAAGTATGCCATTCGATTTCCGAAAGCCATACATAATATCCACAATACAATCCCTATACTTGTTGTGATTCCCAGTATTGTTTTTATTGCAAATTTCACTGCCTCTGCACTTCCTCTCCCCAATTCATTCGAAACTCGTACGCTGGAAAAGAAAACCGAGTTTTCGTTCGTAAAATATCTTTTTAAACAAAGGTAAATTACAAATTTGGTAAACTTTTTTTTTTCTCTTGTTTCACTCATTGTACTTTAAATCTTTTCAATTTCTTCATTGACTTAATACATTGAGTTTTTTTCGTCGCTCATCCGTTTCCTCACTAACGGCGTTATGATGTGGCTTTTTTTACCAAAAAAATCCAATGCGTAAAGTTCAGTGATTAAATTGAAAAAATTAAAAGTATAGTGATTGAAATAGGGCAAAGAGTAAAGTTCATTGATTAAATTTGTAATTTACCCATTAAAAATTAAAAAAGCCACGGTATAACGTCGTTAGTAAGGAAACGGCTGAGTGACCAAAAAAATCCAATGTACTAAATTTAGGAGAAAATTGGAAATATTTAAAGTATAGTAGGTGGAATAAGAGAGAATAAAATTCAATTACCAAATTGGTAATTTACCCGTAAAGAAAAGATTCAGTCATAAAATAAATATTCAAATTATATTTTTTTTATTAGTTTTGGGTGTTTAAAGAATTTTTCGCTCAAATTATGTGTCTAACGTTTCTAATTTACTTTTTTAGGTGCCTAGATACCTAGTTCATCCTTAGCGTTAAAAATTTTATGTTATCTAACATATTTCATGCTTAAAAATAAAAATAAAAATTTTAAAAAATCAAAAAAAATTCTTAACTCTAAAAATCCCGACTCCAAATCCCTTCATTCACATTGACTACCGTTGATGTTTCCTTGGTTATCGCCTTTTGTCTTTTGTCATTTTATCTAATTAGATTCTAACACACGATAAAAAGAATCGTCGTTTTAATAGCTGAAATCGTCACTTTTTGTTGGAATCATCTATCCAAAGTAGTAGTCCTGCAATCCTTCATTTTTCACTACAATAGTTGCTTGAAGCATGGGGTTCAGATAGTCACTCGTTATCGGAGTTTCGGTCAATTGGCGGTTGATGACAGTCGGCGATGATAAGGGGATTTAAATTATGGTTTTTTTTTTTGGGATTTTGAAGTTTGTAATTTTAGGGGGAAATTAGGTTTTCTTTAAATAATACTTTAAGTATTTTAAAAAAATAAAAAAAGTTTATAAGTATGACATGTGTTGGATAACATATTTTTTAACGGTTGTTACAACATAGACGCCTAAAAAGTAACATAATGTTAGATACTTATTTTGAGTGAATTTTTTTTTAAATATTTAATTTTAGATATAGTTTTAACATTTATTTTTACATTAAGTCTAAAAAGCGACGTTAAAAAATCCGAGATCATATACCTTGCTGCAACTAAGAAGCCTAAGTAGACCATAAACTCCCATCCATAGATATTCAGGCTGCACCAATAAAATTTCTTAGATGTAAAAGCAATTGTTTTTACAAAGCTGAAGAATCAAAAGCTGTTAATTACCAGATGGAGAAAGCATCAATGGCGACGGTTGCATTTTTGGTGTAGCCAGCCATTAAGACGAGGATGGAATAATACCATAGTTCCAAGCTATTCTAAAATCAATTTGAGAGAATTAAAATAATAATGCAAGTTAATTTATTGGGTAAATTACCTTAACTATCATTTTTTTCCGTTTTGTTCTTTCAATTTTTTTTTCAAAATCATACCTAACGATAAGTTTTAGTTTTATTTTAGTCACCTACAGTTAAAAAAATTAACGGTGATATTGATATGTCACCATAAGGTAATGACACTTTATCATTGAATTTTTTAAAAGAGTATCGCGTCAATAGTTATGGTATTTTTTTAACTGCTGGTGACCAAAGTGAAATCAAAATGTAATGTTATGTATGCTTTAAAAAAAATAGTTGGACGACTAAAACAGAATAAAAGTGATAATTGGAGTATTAAGCATATAAGTTTAATTTATTTATTCTATGGAAACTAATGAAGAGTAAAGAAAAATAGGATTGTTACCAAATCATGACACCAGATGATATGGAGAGCTTCAAAATAGAGAACATATCTAAGAAAGCAGCATTAGAAAAGCCAGTCCATGTATTAGGGCACCACCCTCCAATCACATACACCAACTGCCCCACAACCATTATCCAACCGGACATATTCACGGCTGCCATTGCTCCATTCACGCCCCACTTAAACCTGATCACAAACACCCACGACAAAAACACGTGAATGACAAACGATGCCATCGATAGCCATCCCACGATCAAGTTCTTGAGTTGTGCTTGTAGGAACATCGAGGTAGTCATGGAAACGACAAAGCTATAGATGGTTGGGATGAACCATAGAGAGATTGGACCGGCCTTGACCGCGAGCTCCTCCTCCTGGCCGAGGAACCGGATAATCGGAGTCGCGAAGATGAATAGAGGTACCATTAGTGTTGCCGTAATGCCATCGACGATCCATGATCGTTGCAGGTAAATCGCCATCATGTTTTGATGCCCTGCACCAAATGCTTGCCCGCATAGAGTTTCGGTTGCACTCGACATGCCCATCTTCCATTCATGAACAACAAGGTATTAACCAAATTTTTTAAGGATTCGGAAAATTTATAATCATAAAAATAGAAGAAATGGTCATTTCAAAAGAATTTAATTTAACGGGGAGTAAATTTAGCTTAAACATAAACTTCCCAGAAAATGCAACCTTGGTTTGGATTACCCTCAAATATGATTTTTCCATGGTAGAAAAGTTAAAATATACATTTAAGAGAATTATTCTTTTGAGATAAATGTTAATCATACATTGATTTTATCACAAGAAAATTAATAATAAGTATTAATTTATTTTTTTAATAGTCTGGAGTGATTATAAGATAATATATTCACAATTTTCTTAATCAATTAATAATGTATACACCGTTGTAAAGGTAATTGCTCAAACTTAGGACCTCTAGCAAGAATAACATTCCCTTTAATCACTTAAATTATTTGATGAATTCAAGTATTAATTTATTCTCATTATCAATAAATCATTTAAAAAATAATTAAAATAAATATAGTTTTATATTTTGAATAGGTGGTTTCTTGTAATTTATTGGTAGTATATGAACTTAATGCTGCCCATTTTTTTCTAAAGGTATCTGTCCAGTTTATTAAATACTAGTCCTCTTTATAATTTATTTACTAATTAAATTGACTTCAAATGAAATCTAGCCTTTAGGATCCAAATATATAATTCAACGTGACAATGGCTGAAAAAAATTAACTTATGTTTTTCAGTTGAGTGTTAATATTCAACAAGAGTATACATCTAACATGAGTATACTCAAATTTTAAGTTGAATTTATATGCATGTTCAAGTATATTTAAAAGTTAAGTCACCTTAGTGGTAAAATAATTATTGTTATTCTTTGAGGTCTCGGATTCGAGTATAGCACCTCAATTTCTAGGTTAGTAATTTCATGTTTACTCTAGAGTTTTGTGAACCTCGCGAAGTTCATGATTAAAGTTGTTGGACCGAATGTGGGCTTAATTTGGTTGGAATTGAAACCAATTATCTATAAAAAGGAGGTTTTTTAATTGTAGAAAGATGAGAAATGACTTATAGTACGATTATCTCATTTTTTAAAATATGAAAGCTTTTATCTATTTCATCTTCTCTTCTTTTCTTTATTTCCTTCTCATTTTCCCTCTCCTTCTTCCTCTCCAAGTTCCATAGCTCAAAGGTTAGTTCTTGAGCCTCTTTCATACTTCAAATTCGTTCAAAATCCCTCCAGCAACCTCGTTTTAAGGATTCAAGCATTTGGGTTTCTTATTTTGCTAGACAAAAGTGATGATTTCATCATCCAAGCCCTAGAGGGGAGTATTGGTTGGCTAAAGGAGCTTCATTTCGGGATTCTAACATCAAGGTAGTGTATTTATAATCGTTTTTGGTGTTAAGGCTTTCATAAGCATGATGATTTGTTAAGATTTGGATATTTGATCATTTTAGGGTTTTATACTTGTTTCATGCTATAGATGATGAATTTAATGTAAAACATGTGTTTTTATGATACTTTATGACCCTAAATGACCAAACTAAGACCTTTAGAGTGATTTTTGGCTAAGCTTAAATAATCAATACTGGATGAACATTATCGATATTGGATGAATTGGGATGAATTTGAGGTAAAATTAGCCGAGAGTATTGATACTGATGGGAAGAGTATCGATACTGCCACCACTGTATAGATAGTCATGGTACCTGGTATCAATACTAGGTCAATTTTCAGCAAACATAAGTCATTTTTTGTATCGATACTCATCAGGGTATCAATACCCTAGGGTATCGATATTGCAAGTATAGTATCGATACTACCAATTTTGGATGGTTAGATTTAACTTTGTTAATGCCCGTAAGAGCTAAAGATGATTCGTAATTGTGGAACTTAGCCCGTGAGAAACACAATTGACCAAGAGGGCCTAAAAACACTCGTAGGAGTGAGTTACAACCAAAGTAATCATACTAAGCGTGATACGTCTAAGTATCTTCAATCGAGCTTGTATCGAATAATTAAGAACAAGAATCGTTGCAGAAGATGTACTGATAAGCAGTACGGTACAATAAGTAAGTCATATTAACTAATAGCGAAAATCGTGTACTTCAGGAAAGCCTGTGAACTGAGAGCATATAAGGCATCCCTCCAATTCAAGAGATATTAAGGAAAAGTACGATAAGAGTTATTAGAGTGTCGTTACCCAATATTGAACCTGATTCAGGTATCGAGCTAGCTAGTATTACCACCAGTGAACAATAGAATCAATAATCGTCATAAAATCATGAAATGCGTAAAGACTTTTTTTAAAGAGATAAAATGATTAAAATGCCCTTAATTAACAAATGACCATAATATAGTAGCTTAATAAACTAACAGAAGTAACAAACTAACAATAAAAGCATAACGTTCTAGGTAAGAGAACGAGCGAGATAGCAGATAGTGATAGGATGACCTCATTTTAGTGTGTCCATATATGTTATGGTGTATCCAAGTTACCTTAGCTGCCCTAGTGGAGCATTGTCAACATTATGCGGCCTTAGGACCCTCAGTTATGCATGTATAGTTGCATCAGTCCAGTACAACATATATCCTTAGAGCTTGGCTTGACGGTTGTGTGAGACTGGGCCATTAATACTTTAGTTGAACAGGAATTGTATTGATACTATGTGACACCAAGTTCCCCCTCCATGATCTACCTAATTTCTATGTGAGACTAGGAGACCATTCAGCAGCTTAGTGGGAATTTTACCGATGCTATATGACATTGGGTTTCTTCAGTTAACTAATGTCTGGTGGCTATGTGAGACCAGATACTAATAGTGTTGCATTTAGATAATGCACAACAGAGTCAATGTCACATTCAGATAATGCATAGTAGTTACAGTTATTAGGATCAGAGACCCTTTAGAGATGTATTCATGGTGAGGCCCTTAGTAGAGGAATAAAGGAAGCATGAGATTTATACTTCAGTGATAGGACAGTTAAACCCTAAGTAGGTAGCACTTGATTTGGATCATGCATGTACCTATTGTTTAGTACCATGTCTTTAGCATTCATATGTTTATGGAGTTCATAGTGCTGCTATAGATTAGCAATTATACTGTTGGGCTTTGTAAGCTCGGCGTTTGGATGTTTTTCGTTCGCATGTTATTAGCTTGAGTCATTCGAGGAGCACCGTCGCTGCAAGACCTCCATCATCTCGTTCAAAGTATTGTACGGTAACTTTAGTGGACATGTGTGTTCATAAAATCTTACTTATGTATTTGAGTTGTAAACCACATTATGTATTATTTTGATTTAAACCATGTGTCACGGAGCTCCGATTTATAAAATGTTTTTATAATATTTTTGTGTTTATTATTGGTACCATAAAATGTGTTTTGAAAATGAACATATATTGAAAATCAAGGATTGTCTCGGTAACCCAATGTGGTATTTTAGGCCCAATCGGGTTTAGAGTATTGCATCGGGCGCTAGGAATACCAGAGTTATGAACGTTCAATATCAAATGATTAAGAGTTATTTTTGAACAATTACTATATTTTACTTACCTAGGTTAATAATATATATATATATATATATATATTAATTGAGTTTATTTCGATTAAAATACTGTCGTTACAATACATAGGAGGGTATAGGATCAACACATGTTATACAAGTGATATTATCAAAAGCTTGTCAAATTATAATATAGTATATTAATTTAAAATTAATAATAAATATATAATTTTTCTCTGTCTATATACTGTATTTGTACGAATGATTTCAATAAGAATATTATAATATTTTATAATGAAAATTTTAATATTTAATTTTATATATAATTTTTATCATAATATGTTGGTAGCCCTTGTACTTTGGCAAAATATGACATTAGTGTCTCGAAAATTTTAAAATTATAGTTTCTTAAATTCTTTAAAATATAACTTATTAAAGATTTACACTCCTCCTGACACGAATTCAACGGTTCTTCCCTGCTTATAAGAACTGTTTGTTGCAAGGGATTTATATTAGTTTATTCATTTTCGAATTAATGAGAGAATATACTCCTAATTCTTGTTTGATATTAAGAAACACAAACCAAAACAAGGGTAAAATACATAAATTGTCTCCCTACTATAGAATAGTAGTATTGCATTGTTGAACCCGAACTATTAAAAGTTACAAAATGGTCCTGGGAATTTTTTTGTTGAGTCACCAACTATTAAAAGTTACAAAATGATCACTTGGCTATTCATATGTTCCAAACTCATCATTTTTTGTTAAAATTTTGATGACAACGTAAGTTGGATATTAATATGTTGATTGAGACATGATTTACGTTTGAGATTTTGGGATCAAATTTTATCATATTACAATCATCACTCATCAGGTTAACGTTCAGCTCAGACTGCCATCAATTTTTAACAGAAAACGATGAATTTAGAATATATAAATAGTCAAGTGAGTATTTTATACTTTTTAATAGTTGAAGTACTCAACAAAGCAATACCCTATAATCAAGAGACTATTTCATAATTTTTAATAGTAGAAGGACTCAACAAAACAGTACCCTATAGTTAGGGGACCATTTGTGTACTTTAACATCCAACAAAAAAAAACTCTGAATTGGAAGGGATTTATATTAGATTATCCATTTTAAAAGTAATGAAAGTATATACTCCTAATTCTTGTTTGATATTAAGAAACACAAGCCAAAAAATAGGATAGGGGGGAAATAAAAAGTAATACCAGTATCCCATGCATGAACCTGACAAAAATGCTTTGAATGAGTGCATAAGTGGCGAGCTCAACATCACCAATATGACCAAGAAATGACTGTGTCACTACCACCATCCCGAATGAAGCTACCCTTGTCATTATTGATGGGATTGCTATTTTGCATATCCTCTTTGATTCATTCCAAACTCTTTTTTTCAAATCATCTTCTTCTTCTGCAATTAATCTCTCCTCCAACTGCTTCTTATCCATCAAGGCTTTCTGCAAAATGGCATAAGCACTGTGATTAAAGATAGTTCAAGCAATGGAAAAAATGAAAAAGGAAGAGTTTTCTTTGACATGCAGACCAGAAAAGGGAAAAGAAGAAGAATCTGATGAGCTTTGGAGGTAGTTGGGGAAGCATTACTTTAAGCTATAGGGTATAGTGTGTAGCAGGTAAAGAAGATAAAATTTTAGGATAAACGGTACGTTTAGTATCCAACTATCACTTTTATTCCGTTTCAATCATACAACTATTATTTTTATTAAAATGATACCTGACGTTACGTTTGTGTTTCATTTTGGTTACCCAATGTTAAAAAAGTAACATATAACCAAATGATGACACGACGTTACCTTATGGTGACACGTTAGCATCACAGATAAATTTTTAAAGGTGGGTGACCAAAATGAAACAAAAATGTAATGTTAGGTATGATTTTGAAACAAAATATAACCAAATAACCAAGACAGGATAAAAGCGATAATTGAGGTACTAAACATGAAGTTTACCCTAAAATTTAAAATGAGAAGAATATGCAGCAGCTAGCCAGAAGGGGACACTATATATATATAAAAGTTTGTGTATGGTCTACTGGTTGTTGGTGATTTGTTTTTACTGATATCAAACTTTGAATGAATGGGGGGAAGAATCAGAATAAAAGTAGAAGCTAGTAAGTCCAAATATTCGGAACACATTAGGTACGTAATAATCTTTTCTAGTTTATCCCTTAATCCGCCATCCTTAAGTAATCATATTCGTTCAAGAATGCCGTCTTGCTTATGTACTTTCAAGAATCTTCACCAAAGGTGTCAATTTGATCAAAAGGCCCGCTTCAAATTTAAGAGGTTTGTAACGATTCAAAATTTTGAATCGTTACAAAACCTCTTAAATTTAGCTCAAACTTTAGGAGTTATTTTAATTTGTGTGTTTGAGTTCGTTGGTTCGATTTGGATATGTTGTAAACCTGATTAGAAAGACATTATACAAGTATGGTTAAATTAACTTCTAAAAACGTGAAGTTTTTGAATAGATAGTCCTAACACCTAAGGGTGTGTTTGGTTCACGGAATGTAAGATTACCAGTGGGAATAAAAGATTACCAGGGAATAGGATTACTGGGAATGTTGTATTTTGTGTTTGGTTGGTTTAGCAGGAATTAGGGATGGCAAACGGGCGGGTCGGGTGCGGATACCCCCTCCCCCATCCCCATACCCACTTAATATTTTTCAATCCACCACCCGCCCACCACCCATGATAGGTACAAATTTTTAAATCCACACCCGCCCACGCGGGTACATTCTCAAATCCATCCCCATACCCACTACCCACTAGCGACGTATCCGTCTAGACCCGCCTGACAGCAAACTTAAGTTATACATAAGCAACAAACATAAAAAAAACATGTCCATTAAGAAACATAATAAAATAATCCAATGATTATCTAAGTTAAGTATTAATATAGATCTTAAAATACACAAAACACCATAATAAAGGACATAATTAAAGTCTAGAAACATAAATGACAAACACATAATGTTTTTGTTCTTTGGCACAACATTCTAAAATTTCAGGCAATATTTGTGACAATATAATACTCCAGTATTACAATCATCATTCTCTATTTCCTCCAACTGAGAGCGCTCCAATTTAAATTCACTACTACCTACATATATAATAGAAAATAAAACTAATATAAGTTAGTAACTAAACTTTAATAAGATAATTAAGCACAATTTGACAACTAATATAAACTAAATAATAATATTACCTTTAATATCGGCCCAAAGCTAATTTTGAGCATACATTAATGCTTCAATCGTCTCCGGAAGTAGTCGACTACGATAAGGACCAATTACTCTTCCACCTATACTGAATGCAGATTTTGATGGGACAGTGGAGACAGGAATGCCCAAAATATATTTTGCTATTTGTTGGAGAGTTAGATAAATTACATGTTATATCTTATACAATATTAGAATTTATAAATTAGTCTCTAAAATTACACATAAATTCATAATGGTCCAAAATTTAATGGATATTTAGCTAGGGAGGGCGGATGTGGGGCGAGCGGATGCGGGGCGGATGCGGGGCGTGTAATGTCTCAAACCCATTACCCGCACACCACCCGCGACGGGTACCACTTTCTAAATTCACACCCGCCCACTACTCGCTAAAATTATACCCATCCCCGCCCCAATTGGAGCGGATACGGTGCGAAATCCACGAAACTGTACCCGTTTGCCATCCCTAGCAGGAATGTAAGATTATCGTGTTTGGTTAAAGGAATAAAAGATTATTAGAATGTATATTTGACCAAATTGTCCTTATTATATATTAGTTTTTTTAACAAGTTGGAAAATATTTATATATTTTCTTTAAAAAATTTAAATTCATAAAATTTATATAATTTTTTTACAAAATTGAAAATATAAAAAGGTTTAATGAAATGGTAAATTTTTATTTTAACCCCTGAACTTCATATAAAATTTTAATTATAGATTTTTTTTGTAAATCTAAAATAGTTTAAGGATAAATTTGTAATTTAACTTTCGTAGAATTTTTATTATTAAATGACAGAATAAGATTATTTTTGAAAGAAAATTTTTTAAGGGCATTTTAGTCTAAAACGTTGGTAATCCAACAATACCTAAGGAAAGGGAGGTAATGATATTCACGGTAATATACCCAAAAAAATCTACTATTGGTAATGTAAGATTATCGGAAATGGCATTCCCGACCAACCAAACGAGGGAATGTGGATTCCATTCCCATGAGAATCTCACATTTCCCCAACCAAACACACCGTAAGGTGTTCTGCAAGTGAAATATGAAATACGACTCCAATTTTTTTAAAATTTTTAAATTAATTTCATAGTGGATGTAATTATTTTATTACTCCGTCGTGTATAAAAGTATTTATAATTTATCTAATGATTTTATTGATTCTTATACAAGTTTATCCCAAGAGATTTAGATGCCACAAGTATTTAAAATTTTCTATAAAATTTGTGCAAATATGCATTCTTAAATAATAAGATAAAATGGATCAGTTTGAGCGTATGTTACATACTTGACTCAATAAATATTTGTTGAAGGTTATAAATAATCCAATTTACTCATATATTTTTATAAAGACATCAAGATAAAAAAAAATTATAATGATTGTATATATTAATACTTTAAATTGGAACTTATGTGTTTTAAATTAGAACTCCTAAATAGCTTCAAAAGCTTCTTTGAGTAAATGAGATACAGAATCTCGAAATCAAATTTTATCTCAGTGTGTAGATAAAAGTCTTAAATACGATTTTTTTATGAATAAAAACGTACTAAAAAGATCTTAAATAGATTCAATGTAAATAAAATATATCTATTAACTATTTAAATATATATTTTTTACTAAAGTACCCTGGTGATTTTAATATTATACAAATGCCAATAAGATAATTTTTGCCTTGAAAGAAGAGAAAAAATATTACGGTTTGGAAGCACTATTTCTGAATGTTTTCAAAATCGGACCGGACATTGAACTGGTTAAGGTACTGATTCACTGGTTCATTGGTTTAACCGGGTTCAACCGCGGTTGAATCAGATTTTATATAAAATAATATATTTTTTTAATTTTACATAATATTCAAAACAATATTAATATATATGTAGCACTTTTTTTAAGTTTACAATATTAAAAGGTATAAAAATATCACAAGTCATAACATGTATAAATGAAAAACCATAAAATCAAGTGAAACAAAATGATTCAAATCAACTACAACATAATATTTAAGGTAAAACATATTAAATAATAAATATAATTATATAACTATAATCAAAAAAATAAAATTGGGGTTTAAAAAAATCATAACAAATGATGTCATTTGGTTTAATTGTTTTTAAAAAAACAATCTCACATGGCTAAGAAACATAGAAGAGTATCCCAAAAGTTTTAAGAGTAAAAATATGAGAACAAAACAATCCCACATGGCTAAGAAACATAGAAGAGCATCCAACTTACTTCTATAAATAATAGAGGTAATTTGACATTCAAAATCATTGAGCCTTTTGGTGAGCACAGAGCAAACTATTCTTTCGCTTCAATTGAGCTCAAATTTTAGGTTTCAATTGAGCTCAAATTTTAGGCTTCAATTGAACTTCTAAATTTTTTTTTGAGTTCGAGCCTTTTTAATTTCAAGTTTTAATATTATATTTCGAGTTGATAACTTTTAGCTCGTGAGTTTTTGAGTCGAGTTGAGGTTACTTTTAAAGTTTTCGAGTTCGAGTCGAGCTCAGCAATACTCGAATTTAACTCGGCTCGTTGAACAAACGACGTTGTTTGGTTTATTTTTTTTTAAGAAAAAAAGTGAATCGGCGGTTCAAACCGGTTTTGTCGGTTTTCAGCCGGTTCACCCCGATTTTCAGCTAGTTCTTCTGGTTCTTTACCGATTATGTGCTAATCCGATTTTGGGAGTTAACCGGATCGGACAGGCCACCGATTCACGGTTCAATCGGTCGAACCGACCGATCCGATCCAATTTTAATAACATTGCTATTTCTTATTAGTCTTAACAATATTATTTTTTTTAATGTGATTTACTTTCACATGATAAGGTGTCAATTATCTTATTCGGAGATAATGTAAAGTGTATACCGTAATTGAAAAAAATGATATATCAAATGAAACATCTGTCTATAAAGCAGGGACAAAGCCTTGATTCCAATTTAAAGGGGGTAAAGTATAATCAATCATAAAAAATGAAGGGCAAAGTATAATGAATCATAAAAAGAGAGAGAGAGAAAATCAAAATAAACTAAAATTTAAAGCTCTAATTTAATATTTTATTATATATTTTTTAATAATAAAAAAATTATCTAATCAAGTAGTAACACATGGAATGACACTTGTCAATAGTGATATGTATCACCACCTGATGAATAATTAATTTTTTTGGATTAAATAAAAATTAGAATCAATTTGATAGAATATATAAGTAATG